CCCGGGGCTGCCGGACCGATACACCGCCATCGCGGCACCGTCAGCGTCGGCTGAACCTTGAACACAACGTGTCACACGTGTTCGCTTACCTCGGGGGCGCGTGCCTGGGGCTCAGCCAGCGCCGCCGCAGCGCGAGGTAGAGCTCGACGAGGGCCGGCCCGAAGGGCCGGAGGCTCGCGACGACGGGGATGGCCGACTGCTCGCGCTTCGACGGCGCGACGACGAAGGACGGGCTCCGCGCGAGCTTCTCCGGCGGCAGGCGGTACTGCTCGAGCACGAAGGAGACGCGGGCCTTGGCCGGGTCCGCGTCGCGGTCGCAGGACGCCGCGCCGCCGCCGCAGAAGGGGCGCACTTTGTGGGCCAGGTCGCCGCGGAACGTGAGGACGTCGCCCTCCGCCGGGTGGTGCGCGCGGCCGTCGAGCACGAGCTCGCCGCCGGCGAGGCCGTCGGGCACGCGCATGTAGCCCACGGAGACGTGGAAGGCCGTCTGCTCGCGGATCGTCGTCGACTGGATCAGCGTCTGGTCGACGTGGCTCCCGACGCCGCCGGCGCCGTCCGCCGCGGCCGCGCGGCCCGGCGGGATCACGAGGATGTTGAAGACGAAGGCGTTGCAGCGGTCGTCGAGGAGCTCGTCGAGGAACCCGTCCCGCAGCCACGCGTAGGCCGCGTGGCCGAACGCGGCGCCGTCGCCGAGCGCGTCCCGCGTGAAGTGGACGACGACGCCGCGCGTGCCCGAGAAGCCGTCGCTCAGCGGGTTCGACGCGTTCGCGTCGAGGTCCCGCGCCGCCGTCGCGTCCAGCAGCCGCTGGCCCCGCTCCAGCAGCCGGCCGCGCCGCGCGCCGTCGAAGACGCCGCGCCGCCAGCGAAAGGTCTCGACGGTCCGCGCGTCGGAGCCCGGCACCTCCGTCTCGTAGAGGCTCCTGAACTGGACGACGTCCAGCAGGTCCCGGAGCGTCCACGCCGCGAAGAACACGACGACGAGGCAGGCGACGAGGACGCCGTCGATGCAGCGCGCGCGCCGCCGGAGCCGCCGCCGCGTCGCGACGAGCGCCAGCGCCTGCGCGTTGCCGCAGGCCGCGGACTCGGCGAGGCACGCCGACGCGCGCGCCGCGTCGCGCGCGACGCCGTCGAGCCGCGCGTGGTCGTAGGCGTAGGCGAGGCCGTAGTACGCGCCGCTGAGCACCGCCGCGTCGGCCGAGGAGGCGACGCAGCGCTCGAGCAGCGCGACGCCGGCCGCATTGTCGCCGGCCGCGCCGCGCCGCAGGAGCGCGCAGCCCACGTCGCGCATGGCGCACGCGTCGCCGGCCTCGGCGAGGCGCGTCGCGTCGGCGAGGCTCATCTTTTGGTGGCGCTGCGGCGCGGAGGTGTGCTGCGCGGCGGTCGCGGTCTCAGCGGTGCGCCGCTCCTGCGCGGACGCGGTCTCGGCGGCGGCGGCGCCGGTGCCCATGGCCCGACTGCCGGCGCTGCTGGTGCGCCAGGATGCAGCGGATGCTGTCGTTTTGCCCCTTTTGACCACAGCTCGCCAGCGCCGATCGGTCCGCCGCCGCCGTCGTCGTCGACCGTTTGCCGCCTGTTCTCTGTGTTGCGCGTGTAGATTTGTCACGCCGTGAGTGTGACGCCGCCGTTGTACGCGACGATGACGACGCCGATCGCCCCCCGAACAAACTCACCGAGACCGCCAGTTCAGGTTGTAGGAGCGCAAGTTCTAGCAGCGCAACAACAGCGTCTACTGCTCATGCACCATGCATCGAAATGTCCTCACGCGATCGGAACGTGCCCTGTGACGCCACACTGTGCTCGCATGAAGCGACTATGGGA